ATTACTCTCACACTTGATTCAAAACTCCCCACGCATTCACTCAACATTTCCCAAAATCTCTCTCTCTCCTATTATATGTATATGTATATCTATTATATGTATATTATTATTATACATATTATTATTTATTTATTATTATTATTATATAAATAATTTGTAATTTTTATTCACACAAAAAATATAAGATTTACTGTTATTCCTTATTGCAATAACTGTATAAATAATGTCAACCCATTCACGACTGCATATTGGAATGGACAGTGACGTCATTTGTTTACTCTGAAACAGCCAAGCAATTGACCATTTGTCCTAGGTTGAGCTCAATTTCAAGGCACTTTTTGTCGTGAAAGCAATCAAAATCATATCTATTTCTGTAATATATCTTCCATTCTATCAAATGAGACCAAACAAATGAGAATACAACCATAAAAACCATTCAAAATTACCGCTAAGGTGTGGCTAATTGCTGAAAAGTGAACTCCATTATTTATGCTTAGATTTCTTTCATTTTTGGTGTACATTAAAAAGCATCTTTCCATCATACATTGCCCAAGTTTCAATAAGATAGTCCAACAAACAAATGAGATACAATTCCCGAGATCAAGAGCAAGAGCCCCTCACCAGTGTCAAGGAACCTGCCTTGAGATCTGCTCACTTGTGGAAATTTTGCTCGCGTATGGAAGCAAAAAATCGACCCATCGACTGCTCGTATTTGGAAAAACTCACACGTCGACATGCTCGCAAGTAGAGGTTCCACTGTATATGTATACAAGAGAAGGGGTTACTAACCCCTTGCTCCTGGCATTTTAGTCGCCTCTTACGACATGCATGGCTTACAGAGGAAGAATTCTGTTCCACTTCCCCATGGAGAGGTGCCATTTCTAGTTGTAGATTATTATTATTACAATCAAGGGGGAAGCGCTAAACCCGGAGGATTATACAGCTACTAGTTGTAGAAATTTTCCTCTTATTATTATTTTTTTTTTTTATTATCACACTGGCCGATTCCCACCAAGGCAGGGTGGCCCGAAAAAGAAAAACTTTCACCATCATTCACTCCATCACTGTCTTGCCACAAGGGTGCTTTACACTACAGTTTTTAAACTGCAACATTAACACCCCTCCTTCAGAGTGCAGGCACTGTACTTCCCATCTCCAGGACTCAAGTCCGGCCTGCCGGTTTCCCTGAACCCCTTCATAAATGTTACTTTGCTCACACTCCAACAGCACGTCAAGTATTAAAAACCATTCGTCTCCAGTCACTCCTATCAAACACGCTCACACATGCCTGCTGGAAGTCCAAGCCCCTCGCACACAAAACCTCCTTTACCCCCTCCCTCCAACCTTTCCTAGGCCAACCCCTACCCCGCCTTCCTTCCACTACACACTGATACACTCTTGAAGTCATTCTGTTTCGCTCCATTCTCTCTACATGTCCGAACCACCTCAACAACCCTTCCTCAGCCCTCTGGACAACAGTTTTGGTAATCCCGCACCTCCTCCTAACTTCCAAACTACAAATTCTCTGCATTATATTCACACCACACATTGCCCTCAGACATGACATCTCCACTGCCTCCAGCCTTCTCCTCGCTGCAACATTCATCACCCATGCTTCACACCCATATAAGAGTGTTGGTAAAACTATACTCTCATACATTCCCCTCTTTGCCTCCAAGGACAAAGTTCTTTGTCTCCACAGACTCCTAAGTGCACCACTCACCCTTTTCCCTCATCAATTCTATGATTCACCTCATCTTTCATAGACCCATCCGCTGACATGTCCACTCCCAAATATCTGAATACATTCACCTCCTCCATACTCTCTCCCTCCAATCTGATATCCAATCTTTCATCACCTAATCTTTTTGTTATCCTCATAACCTTACTCTTTCCTGTATTCACTTTTAATTTTCTTCTTTTGCACACCCTACCAAATTCATCCACCAATCTCTGCAACTTCTCTTCAGAATCTCCCAAGAGCACAGTGTCATCAGCAAAGAGCAACTGTGACAACTCCCACTTTGTGTGTGATTCTTTATCTTTTAACTCCACGCCTCTTGCCAAGACCCTCGCATTTACTTCTCTTACAACCCCATCTATAAATATATTAAACAACCACGGTGACATCACACATCCTTTTCTAAGGCCTACTTTTACTGGAAATAATTTCCCTCTTTCCTACATACTCTAACTTGAGCCTCACTATCCTCGTAAAAACTCTTCACTGCTTTCAGTAACCTACCTCCTACACCATACACCTGCAACATCTGCCACATTGCCCCCCTATCCACCCTGTTATACGCCTTTTCCAAATCCATAAATGCCACAAAGACCTCTTTAGCCTTATCTAAATACTGTTCACTTATATGTTTCACTGTAAACACCTGGTCCACACACCCCCTACCTTTCCTAAAGCCTCCTTGTTCATCTGCTATCCTATTCTCCATCTTACTCTTAATTCTTTCAATAATAACTCTACCATACACTTTACCAAGTATACTCAACAGACTTATCCTCCTATAATTTTTGCACTCTCTTTTATCCCCTTTGCCTTTATACAAAGGAACTATGCATGCTCTCTGCCAATCCCTAGGTACCTTACCCTCTTCCATACATTTATTAAATAATTGCACCAACCACTCCAAAACTATATCCCCACCTGCTTTTAACATTTCTATCTTTATCCCATCAATCCCAGCTGCCTTACCCCCTTTCATTTTACCTACTGCCTCACGAACTTCCCCCACACTCACAACTGGCTCTTCCTCACTCCTACAAGATGTTATTCCTCCATGCCCTATACACGAAATCACAGCTTCCCTATCTTCATCAACATTTAACAATTCCTCAAAATATTCCTCCATCTTCCCAATACCTCTAACTCTCCATTTAATAACTCTCCTCTCCTATTTTTAACTGACAAATCCATTTGTTCTCTAGGCTTTCTTAACTTGTTAATCTCACTCCAAAACTTTTTCTTATTTTCAACAAAATTTGTTGATAACATCTCACCCACTCTCTCATTTGCTCTCTTTTTACATTGCTTCACCACCTCTTAACCTCTCTCTTTTTCTCCATATACTCTTCCCTCCTTGCATCACTTCTACTTTGTAAAAACTTTTCATATGCTAACTTTTTCTCCTTACTACTCTCTTTACATCATCGTTCCACCAATCGCTCCTCTTCCCTCCCGCACCCACTTTCCTGTAACCACGAACTTCTGCTGAACACTCTAACACTACATTTTTAAACCTACCCCATACCTCTTCGACCCCATTGCCTATGCTCTCATTAGCCCATCTATCCTCCAATAGCTGTTTATATCTTACCCTAACTGCCTCCTCTTATAGTTTATAAACCTTCACCTCTCTCTTCCCTGATGCTTCTATTCTCCTTGTATCCCATCTACCTTTTACTCTCAGTGTAGCTACAACTAGAAAGTGATCTGATATGTCTGTGGCCCCTCTATAAACATGTACATCCTGAAGTCTGCTCAACAGTCTTTTATCTACCAATACATAATCCAACAAACTACTGTCATTTCGCCCTACATCATATCTTGTATACTTATTTATCCTCTTTTTCTTAAAATATGTATTACCTATAACTAAACCCCTTTCTATACAAAGTTCAATCAAAGGGCTCCCATTATCATTTACACCTGGCACCCCAAAACTTACCTACCACACCCTCTCTAAAAGTTTCTCCTACTTTAGCATTCAGGTCCCCTACCACAATTACTCTCTCACTTGGTTCAAAGGCTCCTATACATTCACTTAACATCTCCCAAAATCTCTCTCTCTCCTCTGCATTCCTCTCTTCTCCAGGTGCATACACGCTTATTATGACCCACTTCTCGCATCCAACCTTTACTTTAATCCACATAATTCTTGAATTTACACATTCATATTCTCTTTTCTCCTTCCATAACTGATCATTCAACATTACTGCTACCCCTTCCTTTGCTCTAACTCTCTCAGATACTCCAGATTTAATCCCATTTATTTCCGCCACCGGAAACTCCCCTACCCCCTTCAGCTTTGTTTCGCTTAGGGCCAGGACATCCAACTTCTTTTCATTCATAACATCAGCAATCATCTGTTTCTTGTCATCCGCACTACATCCACGCACATTCAAGCATCCTAGTTTTATAAAGTTTTTCTTCTTCTCTTTTTTAGTAAATGTCTACAGGAGAAGGGGTTACTAGCCCATTGCTCCCAGCATTTTAGTCACCTCATACGACACGCATGGCTTACGGAGGAAAGATTCTTTTCCACTTCCCCATGGACAATAGAAGAAATAAAGAAGAACAAGAGCTATTTAGAAAAAGGAGAAAAACCTAGATTTGTATATATATATATATATGCATGTGCGTGTCTGTGAAGTGTGACCTAAGTGTAAGTAGGAGCAGCAAGAGATCCCTGTTATCTAGCATGTTTATGAGACAGAAAAAGAAACCAGCAATCCTACCATCATGCAAAACAGTTACAGGTTTCTGTTTCACAGTCATCTGGCAGGATGGTAGTACTTCCCTGGGTGGTTGCTGTCTACCAACCTACTACCTCTTATTACCCATAAAATTATTGAAAAATCATAAATCTTTCATAAGATACATCGCAAAATAGAGCATAAGGCATACTGACTGGATGCTGCTGCATTCATTTGTTTGCATTTTGTTTAGAGCAATTTTAGATGTGTTAATAAGTTAATGAGCCAAGCAGAGGTTATGTACTTCATTTTTATTATACACATTGAGAAATGCTGTACCAATAGGGGTTCCAGGCACTTGGAGAATGGGAAGCAGTGAAGTTTGATTCAAATAGGGGTAGTTCCAGGTCCTTGGATCAATAGCTCTTTAACTGTGTGAAAGCATTCCCTTGGAAAAGTCGGTGTAAATGAAATTTCATAATGCAAATTTTTGTATAGTGAGGATTGACTAGGTAAGTCTAGCTGAAAAATTTTCAGTGTTTAATTATAGTATTAACATGATTTAACAGAGAATGTGTGGGAAGCTGTCCCGAGGGAACCTATGGTTCAGAGGAGCGGGACTGCTTGAGCTGCCATGCATCGTGTGCAATGTGCAGTGGCCCAGCACAGAATCAGTGCTTGGCTTGCCGTATTGGCTTCCTTTATGTTCTTCATCTTGGTCTTTGTGCTGAGAACTGTCCTCAGGGATACTATGCAGGTGATACCCTTTTTTATAATAATTTTTTAAGACATTTGGGCTGTTTTAGCTATCAGTTTATGATGGTAGATTGCATTAGTTACTACAAGTATTACAGTAATTTCTTAAACCTGAATATAGTAAGCCTGTAATATAAATGTGCATTTTAAAGAAATAAATATCATTGTTGCTATTTGATATTTAATTTTTCAGATTAATATAAATCTTTATTTTTTCATTTTGTAGCAAATGGCTCTTGTCTGCGCTGTGGTGGCCACTGCTCCAAGTGTATTAACCCTGACCATTGCACTAGTTGTGATCATCATCTTTTACTTTCCAATGGTTCTTGTCTCACCAATTGTCCTGAAGGTTTTTATGAGACAGAAGACAATAAGTAAGTCTTTGCAAAGTTTTACAAATACTACTTGGTATTACTATATAATTTAATTACTGTAGTAAATGAAAATCTTGAATTCAAAAAAAATTCTAAAGGTTTACGACTACAAGATGATTCAACAGAGATATCCCAGTTTTTTTTTATTTATTTTACCCTGTTTTTAGGTAATGAATGTATATTACTATATATTTTTAAGTTCCATGTGTCTATCAATTTCAGTGCCTTTCTCAAAATCATGGTCTTAATTTCCTCCAGTGTTAGATTGAAAGTTGTCACACCAGTATACAATTGTGTCTTGCCAGGACCAAGAACTTATTGGTTAAGTAAAGAAAAAACAATAGGGCAGTGACAGTAACTCTGTAGAGCATAATTTATTTCCCACAACCTTATTCAGTTTGGAATCTTCCCTTTAGAAGAGGGCTATGGCTGTCAGTTGTTAATAAAATAACATTAAAAATCACTGAACTATTGCACATAAACCTTAGTGGCTACTAGTAGTCTTAATACTGCAGTGTCTTCTGCCATCTAATAGATATGAGACAGGCTTAAATCTGTTACCAACCCAGAGATTAAACTGACCCATATCGACTGTAAAATCCTATTAACAGTCTTGTACTGAATGAACAGGAGGAAGAAGAAAAAGAGAGCAACTTATCAGGCTGATGACTTGTTTATGAATGGTAACCTCCAGATATTTGCATCAGAAGCATGATTGAAAATCTCATTCTGATGTGAAAAGGAATTTTTGATAAATGCCATTCTTAACCCTCTCACTGTCGATGTCGTATTAGTACAGCTTACAAGGCAGTGTTGGTGGCGTATTAATACCCCAAAGTTCTAGCGGCTTCAGATCTGGTGGGAGAAAGCTGGTAGACCTACATGTGAGAGAATGGGTCTGCATGGTCAGCATGCACAGTATAAAAAAAAATCTGCAGTACGCAGTGCATAATGTTTTTGGTTTAAAATGCAGACTTTGAGGTGTATTTTCATAAAGTATTTATGGTTGTATTCTCGTTTTCTTGGATTCATTTGATAGAATAGAAGATATATTACAGAAATAGAGATGATTTTGGTTGGTTTCATGATGAAAAGTACCTTGAAATTGAGCTCAAAGTAGCAGAAATGTTCGATATGTGGCGATGTTCAGGAGTAAACAGATGATGTCACCATCCAGTGTGTCCAACTGGCCAGTCTGTTATGCAGTCATGAATGAGTTGACATTATTTATACTATTATTACAATAAAGCAGTAGTCTGTATAATAGTAAATTTCTATTTTTTTGTGTGAATAAAAATTCAAAATGGAAAGCAAGAGTAATATAAGAGGGGCCTGGAGATGTAACTAATGAACAGAGAAAATGTTATTTTAGTGCCAGGAATATCTGCATAGTTTATTCTGGACCCTATTTGAAATGGCATCTTTTGAAATTTGGTGTGAAATTGGTGAAATTGCCAATTTCTGACCACTTTATTGAGTAGTTCAAATCAGTAAATGGGCAGTTTCTTGTACTTAATCGATAGAACAAATGGAGTTCTAGCGAAATAGCTGCGAGTTTGGTCAACTGAAATAATGGAATTGGCCGAAAGTAGGGCTGAAAGTGGGCAAAATCACTGATGCGTATATATCGCTGAGACCACTAACTTCTCAAGAGCATAATTCCGTAAGTTTTCCATCACATTTTGTACGTTTGGTGTCATTGCAGTCGGGAAAAGATTCTGTCATTTCATAAGAAAAAATTTTTTTTTTTTAAATTCTTTGACATTGAGAGCAAGTTTCTGAGCAGGGGTCTCGACAGTGAAAGGGTTAAGTGAATCATCAAATCCTAAACACAGTTTCTCATCCTTCAGAACATTGTAATTTAGTGTGTAAAGTTTAGTAGTATTTTTATTCTTCAACTTACCGGACGTATCCCACCGAGGCAGGGTGGCCCAAAAGGAAAAACAAAAGTTCATCCTTTTAAATTTAGTAATATATACAGAAGAAGGGGTTACTAGCCCCTTGCTCCCGGCATTTTAGTTGCCTCTTACGACATGCATGGCTTAAGAACATAAGAATATAAGAACAAAGGAACACTGCAGCAGGCCTACTGGCCCATGCGAGGCAGGTCCAAGTCTCTTACAGGCTTAAGCCAATGCCCCAACCTAGTCAGGTGAGGTCACATTCACTTAAGGAAGGAGCACGGCATCTTACCTAGTAGCACAAACTATTAGGTCCAACTCACACCCACCCGCACCCACTCATGCATTTACCTAACGTATCTTTAAAACTACACAACGTTTTAGCCTCTATAACTGTACTCTGTACTTATGGAGGAAGAATAATGTTCCACTTTCCCATGGATAGTATTTTTATTTTAATGTAATATTTTTGTAAAACTTACATGACAAGAGATACATTAATTATACAGTTATTGAGAATTTATTATTAATTTTTTTACTAATAAATTCTCAATACCTCTATAATTAATATATCTCTTGTTATGCAAGTTTTACAAATTTTTGTTTTGTTTGTTTTTTCAACAAGTTGGCCATCTCCCGCTGAACACTAATCACTGTCTTTGCAGAGGCTCTCAGATATGACAGTTTAGAAACATATACATGTAAAATATTCTTCCAAACTGCCAATATCCCAAACCCCTCCTTTAAAGTGCAGGCATTGTACTTCCTATTTCCAGTACTCAAGTCCAGCTAAATCACCAGTTTTCCTGAATCCCTTTGCTAAATATTACCCTGCTCATACTCCAACAACTCATCAGGTCCCAAAAACCATTCGTGTCCATTCGCTCCTATCTAACACGCTCACATACACTTGCTGGAAGTCCAACCCCCTTGCCCACAAAATCTCCTTTACCCCCTCCCACCAACCTTTTCGAGGATGACCCCTACCCCCCATTCTTTCCCCTACAGATTTATATCCTCTCCAAGTCATTCTACTTTGATCCATTCTTTCTAAATGACCAAACCACTTCAATAACCCCTCTTCAGCCCTCTGACTAATACAGTGGACCCCCGGTTAACGATATTTTTTCACTCCAGAAGTATGTTCAGGTGCCAGTACTGACCGAATTTGTTCCCATAAGAAATATTGTGAAGTAGATTAGTCCATTTCAGACCCCCAAACATACACGTACAAACGCACTTACATAAATACACTTACATAATTGGTCACATTCGGAGGTAATCGTTATGCGGGGGTCCACTGTACTTTTATTAACTCCGCACCTTCTCCTAATTTCCACACTCCGAATTCTCTGCATAATATTTACACCACACGTTGCCCTTAGACAGGACATCTCCACTGCTTCCAGCTTCCTCCTCACTGCAGCATTTACAACCCAAGCTTCACACCCATGTAAGAGTGTTGGTACCACTATACTCTCGTACATTCCCTCTTTGCTTCCATGGATAATGTTTTTTGTCTCCACACAACTCACCTTTTATCTTCATTTATTCTATGATTAACCTCATCCTTCATTAACCTATCCGCTGACATATCAACTCCCAAATGTCTGAAAGCATTCACTTTCCATACTCTTTCTCTCCAATGTGATATCCAGTTTTTCTTCATCTAAATTGTTTGATACCCTCACCCCCTTACTATTATCTGTGTTCCCTCTCAACTTTCTACCTTCACACACACTCCCAAACTGGTCCATTAACCTTTGCAACTTTTCTTTAGAATCTCCCATAAGCACAGCATCATCAGCAAAAAATAATTGTGTCAACTCCCATTTTGTACTTGATTCCCCATAATTTATTCCCACCCCACTCCCCAACACTCTAGCATTTACTTCTTTTACAACCCCATCTATAAATACAGTGGACCCCCGGTTAACGATATTTTTTCGCTCCAGAAGTATGTTCAGGTGCCAGTACTGACGAATTTGTTCCCATAAGGAATATTGTGAAGTAGATTAGTCCATTTCAGACCCCCAAACATACACGTACAAACGCACTTACATAAATACACTTACATAATTGGTCGCATTCAGAGGTGATCGTTATGCGGGGGTCCACTGTATATTAAACAACCATGGTGGCATTACACATCCCTGTCTAAGACCTACTTTTACTGGGAAGTAATCTCCCTCTCTCCTACACACCCTAACCTGTGCCTCACTATCCTCATAAAAACTCTTACTGCATTTAGTAACTTACTACCGATTCCATACACTTGTAACAGTTGCCACATTGCTTCCTTATCCACTCTGTAATATGCCTTTTCTAAATCCATAAATGCAGTGAAAACTTCCCTAACTTTATCTAAATACTGTTCACCTATATGCCTCAATGTAAACACTTGATCTACACATCCCCTACCCACTCTAAAGCCTCCTTGCTCATCTGCAATCCTATTCTGTCTTGCTTCTAATTCTTTCAGTAATAACCCTTCTGTACACTTTACCTGGTATACTCAGTAAACTTATTCTTTCTTTCAACACACCGGCCGTATCCCACCGAGGCGGGGTGGCCCAAAAGGAAAAACGAAAGTTTCTCCTTTTACATTTAGTAATATATACAGGAGAAGGGGTTACTAGCCCCTTGCTCCTGGCATTTTAGTCGCCTCTTACAACACGCATGGCTTACGGAGGAAGAATTCTGTTCCACTTCCCCATGGAGGTAAGAGGAAATAAACAAGAACAAGAACTAGAAAGAAAATAGGAGAAAACCCAGAGGGGTGTGTGTATATATATGCTTGTACATGTATGTGTAGTGTGACCTAAGTGCAAGTAGAAGTAGCAAGACATACCTGAAATCTTGCATGTTTATGAGACAGACAAAAGACACCAGCAATCCTACCATCATGTAAAACAATTGCAGGTTTTCGTTGTGCACTCACTTGGCAGGACGGTAGTACCTCCCTGGGCGGTTGCTGTTTACCAACCTACTACCTAGGACTCAACATATTCCTCTATAATTTTTACAATCTCTTTTGTCCCCCTTCCCTTTATATAAAGGAACTATACACACTCTCTGCCAAACCCTAGGTACCTTTCCCTCTTTCATACATTTATTAAACAAAAATACCAACCACTCCAACACTATATCCCCCCTGCTTTTAACATTTCTGTTATGATCCCGTCAGTTCCAGCTGCTTTACCCCTTTTCATTCTACATAATGCCTCACACACCTCCCCTACACTCACATCCTGCTCTTCTTCACTCCTAAAAGATGTGATACCTCCCTTGCCAGTGCATGAAATTACTGCCTCCCTTTCCTCATCGACATTTAAAAGTTCCTCAAAATATTCCCACCATCTACCCAATACTTCCAGCTCCCTATCTACTAACTCCCCTACTCTGTTTTTAACTGACAAATCCATTCATTCCCTTGGCTTTCTCAACTTGTTTATCTCCAATTTTTTTTCTTATTTTCTGCAAAATTTCTTGACAGTGTCTCTCCTACTCTATCATCTGCTCTCCTTTTGCACTCTCTCACCACTTTCTTCACCTTTCTTTTACTCTCTATATACTCTACTCTTCTTGTAACACTTCTGTTTTGTAAAAACCTCTCATAAGCTACCTTTTTCTCTTTTATCATACCCTTTACTTCATCATTCCACTAGTCAGAGGAGTGTTTTACTAAAATATTACATGTAAATTTAATTCGTAATTTGACATACTCATTTAAGGTATTTTCAAAATAATTTTGTTATTCTGATTTGTAAACTTCATATGCACAGTATACAGCCTTTCCTCACTTAATGACGGAGTTATGTTCCCAAGACCACGTCGGTAAACGAATTCATCGCTAAGTGAGGAGTATACTAAAATGGTAGTTGGTTTGTGTCAACCATCTTTGATATTCTTTTAATGTCACCTTTGCACCATTTATAACATTTCTGGTATATTTTTAGATGTTTATACAGTAGTGTACTATAAATTGTAATAAACAGAATAGAAGAAATCAGCTCTAATATACTTTATTTAGGTATTCAATCTGGTCAGAGTGCCCATTGTAAGTTTGGGTCATCAGTAAACAAGTACATTGCCAAGTGAGGAGAGGCTGTACTAATAATTAGTCAGCATATTTGGAGGCGTGTCTGCATTCTGAAGGAGGGGTGTTAATGTTGCAGTTTTATAACTGTAGTGTAAAGCACCCCTCTGGCAAGACAGTGATGGAGTGAATGATGATAAAAGTTTTTCTTTTTCGGGCCACCCTGCCTTGGTGGGAATCGGCCAATGTGTCAATAAAAAAAAAATATTTGGAGGCAGTGGAGAAGTCATGTCTAAGGGTAATGTGTGGTGAAAATGTTATACAGAGAATTCATAGTGTGGAAATTAGGAGGAGGTGTGGAGTTACTAAAAGTATTAGTCAGAGGGCTGAAGAGGGGCTGTTGAGATAGTTTGGTCATTTAGAGAGAATGGAAGGAAGTAGAATGACTTGGAGAGCATATAAATCTGTAGGAGAAGGAAGGCGGGGTAGGGTTCATCCCTGAAAAGGTTGGAGGGAGGGGGTAAACATGGTAGAAGTATGGATTACAGCAGTGAGAACAATGCAGCTCTGCTGTGAAAATAGTAGCCAACTGTGTCAGGTAGCCTTTGCCAGAAAAGAACAGCTTAGTATCCTACTCAATCAAGGGATTTTGAGTCATTGGTGTATACAGCATTAGTATCTGTAAATGGAAATTATCAAAAGCATGCATGAGCCCAAAGCAGAGTATCAAGATTTTATGAAAGGAAGAGAGTAAATGCAGACTTAAATAAGAGTGACTTTTCAAGGTGGAAAGGAGAAGAAACATACAAGAAGATCAGGAAATGGTAGGCCAAAGAACTCTACAACAGTCTCAGCACTGTATGACCCTTGTGTGTTTAGCACTTAGTTATGATAATAATAATAATCTACAACAGTCAACAGACGTAAATTGAAAGGGATGCAATAAACTGTGATGATGAAATTGTTGGCTTTACTAGTACAGTATGGATAACATAGTCACTGAAAACTTTAATGCAGATATTATGAATTTTGTTCTTAAAATTTTCAAATCATCCAGTACTAACTCGCACTTATGCACACATGTGCATAATCCATGTTGGCCATAGCCTTTTTTGTGCCTTTATCCTCCTTATCACTGTTACTGTCATGTAGAAGAGGTTGGATTATTCAGAATTACAGTAGTACTGTAATTACAGGGATGGTATAGAAAAATAACTAATGTATCGGGCTCACTATATTGGTCATTTGTTTTGCCCAACCACATGGAACTTCAGTAAAAATAGATGAGTGTCACTCATACAAGTGTCATGAGTAAAAGTTTTTCCAGTTAACTGGAAATGGATATGATCAGTGAAACCTTTTTGTTAAACCTGTATTTTTGGTTATAACAGGTGTTAATAAGATGAGACTGTATCACCTATTTAAAAAACATTAGCACATAACCCATTATTCACCTTATTAGAAATCAATGGCACATGTTTCATTGAGTCATCCTTTATATTATGTTTAATGCTGTATCACAATACATTAGAATTTAGGCTGCAGTATAATTTTATTAATATCTGTTGTAATGTAAATAATAAATAGTAAGTGTACTGTAGTTATTATTAATGAAACAATGAACCTACAGGTGTGGTTCATGTTACCCACAGTGCAAGACTTGTGTAGGGGGCAGCAGTTCTGATTGTGCATTGTGCCGAGCTAATTCTTACCTGCACCGAGGAAAATGCGTATACCGCTGCCCTAAAGGTATGTAGAGTCTTCCAAAAGATCTTGAGATGATAATATTCATAATTATTTCATTCTCTTAGTACTATCAGTACTTGGGTGAATTATACAAGTTTTTTAAATAAAGAAGCTGCTTAGTTGCCAGCATTCTAAACAGGATGGCCCACACAGTTGTAACTAAGTGACTAAGAGGCTTTCAGATGTTGAATTGCTCTAGAAGAAAGAATGAAAACACATGTGAATGAATTATCTCTGTTTGATTTACAGTAGACCCTTATATTACACTGTAGTTAGGTTCCTAAAAATGCCATGTTAGATAAATCCGTGTTATATAAACTGAAGAACTTAAGGGAAAAATAGGGTTATGTTCCTATGCCCCCCCCCCAAAAAAAAAGCCAAACAAATTGATTTTTAGATATCCAGATCATACAAAAATAAAAATGATAATGTTGTTTTTGTGGCTTAAGACTACAAATGCAACAGAAATAACATTATTTACCTTAAATTGTGGTTGCTGGTGTATGCCAGCGATTGTGAAGAGAGTGGAGATGCATGGTGTAGCCCTACTGGGCTGAGGTGGGTGATTGTTGGCTGTTGGCAGAAGTGGATGGTTGAGGTTCTGGTGTTAAAGTCGATGGTTGTATTGGAGTGTACATAAATTCTGTAATGCATTTCTGGCTTCTTTTACCTTGTAGTTCATTATGCAACTGACGGTAAGGCATCATCAGCTGCTCTAGACCCCCATTTCAAAGCACTGCTTCTAGATTTGTCAGTGTCCTCTTCAGTGAAAAAGTCTGCTAGTTTAGCAGCAACATGGAACTGCTCACGTAATTGCTGCAATGTTAACTGTTTTTCTTCAGGGTCTTCTTCATCTTCTCTGGCTCCCATGTATCTGTGCATTGAGCTCTGGCAACATTTCCTCTGGACTCCTGTTGTCGTTATCGTCGTCGTCGTCGTCATCGTCATCATCATCATCATCATCGTCATTGTCATCGTCATCATCATCATCATCATCATCATCATCATCATCATCATCATCATCATCATCATCATCATCATCATCATCATCATCTAAGAGCTCATTCACATCTTCCTTCATATTTTCAAAGCCATCACCTGGTAATCTTGCCAGCTGAACAATTTCCTGAACCTGACTCTAAAGCAAGGGAAAACCAGTGAAAGAATTAACTACAGAAGGCCATAACTTTCCCCAGCCTGCATTTAATGTTGATTGGGGCACTTCAATCCATGCACCTCTTGCATACCTGATAGCATCTGCAATGTTAAATTTATTCCAGAAGCTTGGTACTGCCAGGTTGGAGTCACAGTCCATTCAAATTTTTTTCCTCTCCACAAACCGAATCTTTCTTCTTTCAACACACCGGCCGTATCCCACCGAGGTGGGGTGGCCCAAAAGGAAAAGCAAAGTTTTTCCTTTTACATTTAGTAATATATACAGGAGAAGGGGTTACTAGCCCCTTGCTCCCGGTATTTTAGTCGCCTCTTACAACACGCATGGCTAACGGAGGAAGAATTCTGTTCCACTTCCCCATGGAGGTAAGAGGAAATAAACAAGAACAAGAACTAGAAAGAAAATAGAAGAAAACTCAAAGGTGTGTATATATATGCTTGTACATGTATGTGTAGTGTGACCTAAGTGTAAGTAGAAGTAGCAAGACGTACCTGAAATCTTGCATGTTTATGAGACAGAAAAAAGGACACCAGCAATCCTGCCATCATGTAAAACAATTACAGGCTTTCGTTTTACACTCACTTGGCAAGACGGTAGTACCTCCCTGGGCAGTTGCTGTCTACCAACCTACTACCTATGCAAACCGAATCATGTTAAGTTAATTTTGCGAAGTGTTGTATAAAATTATGCCGCAATTTTTCAGTAGTGCAATAACCAAAATGTGCCAAATAAATCACTGTAATATAAGGGTGTACTGTACATGATGTACATGTTATAGCCTATTATGTGCACATCAAAAAGATACATTAAGAAATTATATTTAAAGAGTAAGTGATGAGGATAAAAGAAATTGAATATCATATTAGAGGGAGAGAGTATGAAGGAGGTGAATGTATATATTCAGATATTTAGAAGTGGACGTGTCAGCAGATAGGTCTATGAAAGATGAGGTGAATCATAGAACTGATGAGGGAAAAAAGGTGAGTGGTGCAATGAGGAGTTTGTGGAGATAAAGAGCTTTGTCCATAGAAGCAAAGAGGGGAATGTATGAGTGTATAGTTATACCAACGCTTTTATATGGGTGTGAAGCATGGGTGGTGAATGTTGCAACAAAAAGTATGAGCTGGGTAATATTTATGAAGGGATTCAACAGGAACTGGCAGGCCAGACTCCATAACTGTTCTTCAGACAGTGATGGAGTGAATGATAGTGAAAGTTTTTCTTTTTTGGGCCACCCTACCTTGGTGGGAAACGGCCGATGTTTTAATAAAAAAAATTATAATCTATATCAAATAAGCTATCTCCTATCATTATAAATGCTAATGCATTATTTACTATTGTTTTCATTACACATTTTCATAAGTCCTTCACTTTTTCTGTTCACTTTCTTTGGGTTTTCTTGTCCTTATATTATACCTACATATCTGACTCATAATTACCTTTTCATTATTTCCAAATAATTTTGAAAGGGAAGTAAGAAAAGAAAAGAATAAATCAGTAAACATTTGTAAAACGTATATCAGTAAACATTTGTAAAAGGTAAACCAATAAAATGTAGAAAAATGGATATTGCAAATGCTTGAAGGATTTATACAGCACAGTCACCAAATGTCTAAAAAAAAAAAAATACATGACTGGAAGAAAGGGCATCCACTTTAAAACCTTCCAGTGGAAGGACAGTAATGCAATATATGTACTGTAAAGCTGTTATTGATTACAACAGTAGTTTTTTAAACACACCAGCCATCTCCTTCTGAGGTATTGTGACCCTAAAAGAAAGAGAAACATTAGCTACCACTCATTCAACAGCATAGACATCACAGTTTCAAGTGATCTTTGGAACTTCAACATCCTCCACCCTTTCAGAGTGCAGGTGTTGTGCTTTTCACCTCAAAGACTTTAGTCTTTCTGACTGATTTTGCATGCATCCAGTCATTAATATTACCTTGCTCACACTCCAGTAGTACCTCAGGCCATTAAAACTATTCATCTCCATTCCTTCCAGTATAACACTTACACACAAGCCTGTTAGATGCTCAAACCTCTAGCACTCAAAATATCCTGTATCTCCCTCCCCTCCCCTCTAACTCTTCCTGAGTCGACCCCTACCTTCCTTTCACCGAAGATGTATACACCCTTTTGTCATTCAGTTTTGCTCTAGCCTCGCTAAATGTTCAAACTACTTTAACAATCCCCCTTATCAGCCCTCTGAATTATACCTTTCCTAACTCCACTCCATCTCCCAATTTCTACACTTCAAATTTTGTGCATAATATTTCACATCACACATTGCTTTCAAGCATGACATCTCCAGTAGTTATATATTTGCACATCAAGTTGATTTACATCTAGTAAATGTTGCTAAATTTATTTGAATGATAGTACAGCATAATATTAGATTATGGATCATACTATAGTATAATTTTTTTTTCAACACCAGTTATCTCCCACCAAGGTAGGGTAACCCTAAAAAGGAAACATGTTCACTATCATTCATTCAGTAGCTGTCTTGCTAGTAGTAGTAGTGTGCATGCATTACAATTTAATGACCTCCACAATCCTCCTCAGAATGCAGGCACTGTATTGCCTAGTCCCAGTTTCCTTGAATCTCCTCATAAATGTTATTTAACTTGCACTCCGACAGTATGCCTAGCCACAAAAACCACTTATCACCATTCACTCCAATTTAACATGTTTATACATACAAGCCTACTGGGTGTTCAAGCCCCCAGCACTCAAAAACTACATTATAATTATGGGAAATTGTTTGGATATTTATGAGGCATCACGAATAGTAAGGGCGAATGCAGCAAATCCAATTTATGAGAAAAACTGTCTCACAGTTTAACATGAGTGAACTTAGTAACTCACTGAAATGCCACTGCCTCATAAAGTAAACAATTTTAATTGGGGAATGCAACAGAATGTTTGGAAATATAAGTAGATGATTCCTGTGAAAATAAACAGCCAGCTTGGAGTAATATATAAATATCAGTTATGTATTAGATGAGATATAGTTTCATGATATACTGCAAGATTCCTTATACAGTTGTAGAGGTTTGAGAGCAGGTCAGTATCCTGATACATGCATCATTATCAGATGAACTCGGTAATTAACAACACCAATCACTGAAATGCTTAATAAATGTCAAAATAATGTGTCACAATTTCAAGTGGCTAAGAAAGGCAAGCAGGAGGGATAAGGGATGCATGACATATGACTGCATGCATTAGGCATTGATTCAGTCATGTCCTAAGAGCATTGCTGATTTGTTTCACTGCCTGTCAGGTTTGCCATTCCTACCTCCTGCAAGAATCTTGGTTAAGTCCTGTGTGCCCTTATCTTCCATAAAATACATGTATTTGGGAGGCTGGTACAGATAAACTAGACTATTTGTACTTGAACCACTTAAATTTCAAGATTTTGAAGATTATATTGATTAAAAAAACTGATTTTAGAAAATTGTTATGGTTACCCTTACTATCTGCAGTACCTTGTATGGAAATCAGATAATGTTAGTAGTTAAAGTCTCTTAAGAGAATCATTCACATGCCCAAAATGATGTTCACAACTTATGATTTTTTTAGCTTATACTCAATGGTTAATCCAGTCTTTGCAATATCTGTTTTTGTTTTAAACAGTAATTATTTTTATAAACAAAATTTTCAGGTACTTATGGTGGGCAGGTGACCCGTGAGTGTATGATGTGTCCAGCTGGATGTGCTTCCTGCAATGGAAATTCCTGTACCTCCTGTAGTGAGGGCTGGAGAACTAAAGCTGGACGTTGTGTGGCACGCCCTAATCAGTGTAATATAAGTAAGTGCATAAGTACAAAAAAGTTTTTAACTTGCTTGTAACACTAAAGCAATATCTTTAGAAGTTTATTATTTTTTTATTATCACACCGGCCGATTCCCACCAAGGCAGGGTGGCCCGAAAAAGAAAAACTTTCACCATCATTCACTCCATCACTGTCTTGCCAGAAGGGTGCTTTACACTACAGTTTTTAAACTGCAACATTAACACCCCTCCTTCAGAGTGCAGGCACTGTACTTCCCATCTCCAGGACTCAAGTCCGGCCTGCCGGTTTCCCTGAATCCCTTCATAAATGTTACTTTGCTCACACTCCAACAGCACGTCAAGTATTAAAAACCATTTGTCTCCATTCACTCCTATCAAACACGCTCACGCATGCCTGCTGGAAGTCCAAGCCCCTCGCACACAAAACCTCCTTTACCCCCTCCCTCCAACCCTTCCTAGGCCGACCCCTACCCCGCCTTCCTTCCACTACAGACTGATACACTCTTGAAGTCATTCTGTTTCGCTCCATTCTCTCTACATGTCCGAACCACCTCAACAACCCTTCCTCAGCCCTCTGGACAACAGTTTTGGTAATCCCGCACCTCCTCCTAACTTCCAAACTACGAATTCTCTGCATTATATTCACACCACACATTGCCCTCAGACATGACATCTCCACTGCCTCCAGCCTTCTCCTCGCTGCAAACATTCATCACCCACGCTTCACACCCATATAAGAGCGTTGGTAAAACTATACTCTCATACATTCCCCTCTTTGCCTCCAAGGACAAAGTTCTTTGTCTCCACAGACTCCTAAGTGCACCACTCACTCTTTTTCCCTCATCAATTCTATGATTCACCTCATCTTTCATAGACCCATCCGCTGACACGTCCACTCCCAAATATCTGAATACGTTCACCTCCTCCATACTCTCTCCCTCCAATCTGATATTCAATCTTTCATCACCTAATCTTTTTGTTATCCTCATAACCTTACTCTTTCCTGTATTCACCTTTAATTTTCTTCTTTGCACACCCTACCAAATTCATCCACCAATCTCTGCAACTTCTCTTCAGAATCTCCCAAGAGCACAGTGTCATCGGCAAAGAGCAGCTGTGACAACTCCCACTTTGTGTGTGATTCTTTATCTTTTAACTCCACGCCTCTTGCCAAGACCCTCGCATTTACTTCTCTTACAACCCCATCTATAAATATATTAAACAACCACGGTGACATCACACATCCTTGTCTAAGGCCTACTTTTACTGGGAAAAAATTTCCCTCTTTCCTACATACTCTAACTTGAGCCTCACTATCCTCGTAAAAACTCTTCACTGCTTTCAGTAACCTACCTCCTACACCATACACTTGCAACATCTGCCACATTGCCCCCTATCCACCCTGTCAATACGCCTTTTCCAAATCCATAAATGCCAACAAAGACCTCTTTAGCCTTATCTAAATACTGTTCACTTATATGTTTCACTGTAAACACCTGGTCCACACACCCCCTACCTTTCCTAAAGCCTCCTTGTTCATCTGCTATCCTATTCTCCGTCTTACTCTTAATTCTTTCAATTATAACTCTACCATACACTTTACCAGGTACACTCAACAGACTTATCCCCCTATAATTTTTGCACTCTCTTTTATCCCCTTTGCCTTTATACAAAGGAACTATGCATGCTCTCTGCCAATCCCTAGGTACCTTACCCTCTTCCATACATTTATTAAATAATTGCACCAACCACTCCAAAACTATATCCCCACCTGCTTTAACATTTCTATCTTTATCCCATCAATCCCGGCTGCCTTACCCCCTTTCATTTTACCTACTGCCTCACGAACTTCCCCACACTCACAACTGGCTCTTCCTCACTCCTACAAGATGTTATTCCTCCTTGCCCTATACACGAAATCACAGCTTCCCTATCTTCATCAACATTTAACAATTCCTCAAAATATTCCTTCCATCTTCCCAATACCTCTACCTCTCCATTTAATAACTCTCCTCTCCTATTTTTAACTGACAAATCCATTTGTTCTCTAGGCTTTCTTAACTTGTTAATCTCACTCCAAAACTTTTTCTTATTTTCAACAAAATTTGTTGATAACATTCTCACCCACTCTCTCATTTGCTCTCTTTTTACATTGCTTCACCACTCTCTTAACTTCTCTCTTTTTCTCCATATACTCTTCCCTCCTTGCATCACTTCTACTTTGTAAAAACTTCTCATATGCTAACTTTTTCTCCCTTACTACTCTCTTTACATCATCATTCCACCAATCACTCCTCTTCCCTCCTGCACCCACTTTCCCTGTAACCACAAACTTCTGCTGAACACTCTAACACTACATTTTTAAACCTACCCCATACCTCTTCGACCCCATTGCCTATGCTCTCATTAGCCCATCTATCCTCCAATAGCTGTTTATATCTTACCCTAACTGCCTCCTCTTTTAGTTTATAAACCTTCACCTCTCTCTTCCCTGATGCTTCTATTCTCCTTGTATCCCATCTACCTTTTACTCTCAGTGTAGCTACAACTAGAAAGTGATCTGATATATCTGTGGCCCCTCTATAAACATGTACATCCTGAAGTCTACTCAACAGTCTTTTATCTACCAATACATAATCCAACAAACTACTGTCATTTCGCCCTACATCATATCGTGTATACTTATTTATCCTCTTTTTCTTAAAATATGTATTACCTATAACTAAACCCCTTTCTATACAAAGTTCAATCAAAGGGCTCCCATTATCATTTACACCTGGCACCCCAAACTTACCTACCACACCCTCTCTAAAAGTTTCTCCTACTTTAGCATTCAAGTCCCCTACCACAATTACTCTCTCACTTGGTTCAAAGGCTCCTATACATTCACTTAACATCTCCCAAAATCTCTCTCTCTCCTCTGCATTCCTCTCTTCTCCAGGTGCAATACACGCTTATTATGACCCACTTCTCGCATCCAACCTTTACTTTAATCCACATAATTCTTGAATTTACACATTCATATTCTCTTTTCTCCTTCCATAACTGATCATTTAACATTACTGCTACCCCTTCCTTTGCTCTAACTCTCTCAGATACTCCAGATTTAATCCCATTTATTTCCCCCACTGAAACTCTCCTACCCCCTTCAGCTTTGTTTCGCTTAGGGCCAGGACATCCAACTTCTTTTCATTCATAACATCAGCAATCATCTGTTTCTTGTCATCCGCACTACATCCACGCACATTTAAGCAACCCAGTTTTATAAGTTTTTCTTCTTCTCTTTTTTTAGTAATTGTATACAGGAGAAGGGGTTACTAGCCCATTGCTCCCGGCATTTTAGTCGCCTCATACGACACGCATGGCTTACGGAGGAAAGATTCTTTTCCACTTCCCCATGGACAATAGAAGAAATAAAAAAGAACAAGAGCTATTTAGAAAAAGGAGAAAAACCTAGATGTATGTATATATATATATGCATGTGCGTGTCTGTGAAGTGTGACCAAAGTGTAAGTAGGAGTAGCAAGATATCCCTGTTATCTTAGCGTGTTTATGAGACAGAAAAAGAAACCAGCAATCCTACCATCATGCAAAACAGTTACAGGTTTTTGTTTCACAGTCATCTGGCAGGACGGTAGTACTTCCCTGGGTGGTTGCTGTCTACCAACCTACTACCTTACTACCCTACTACCTACCTTTAGAAGTTTATGTATCTATAATGTTTGCAAGTGTTGCTTTATATGAACTCCAAGACAACTGCTGTTTAAGGAGACACTTGGAGGAATGATAGGTGTGCAGTCAGGAGAGAGTAGTCAATCTGTAAGTCTGTCAATATAACATCCAGCTCTTAGGAAGCATGAGCTGTTTATTGACACAAGAAATATGAGGAATGTACTGAGCCCAATGCCAACATGCAGAGCACATCTTGCACATCTTCCTCCAGACCCCAAAGAGAACTTAAGTGCAGCCCATGGTCTCATAAGCCACTGTTGGGAGGGTGTAGGCAAGGAAGGTCACTATTCATGACTCTCTTATTGAAACCAATGTAAGCCACCCAGTTTCCAGGCTGGGCTGGAAAGGAGAGGAGGAGTGATTACATCAGTTTTACTAAGGGGCAACCAGAGAATGGCTGAGTATAAGATAGAAGATCCAAGGAATACTGGAAATCTGCAAAGGGGATGACCACCTGAGGGGTGAGAGATGAATAAAAACAAAGGAGAGGTCTAGCTAGATGGCAAAGAGCTCATCCATCAAGACTTTGTGTTCTGGGGCCAACTTTAAAATTGAGTGGTAGTTGTTGAAGTAGAGTAAATTGAGCAGAGTACTATCTGGTGACACTGGGGAGTATCTAGCCAAAGAACTATCACTGAAGGAAGGAAAGCTTTAATTGAAAGTATTGTAGTGCTAAATTTTTTTAAGCATGACCTCATTATATGCCAGATTTTTTTCCAGCTATTTCTGTATGCCACAAATTTCATATTTCCATAATCCTTCTTGTAAAGTTTTTGAACATCAAGGAATTAACCCAAAAATTATTTGTGCTTTGTTTCTATGATGATAATTGTCACTGTACAGTGGTACCCCAAGTTTCGAACTCTCTTCATTCCAGAAGGCTGTTCAAGTGCCGATACTGAACGAATTTGTTCCCATAGGAAATAATGTAAATTAGGTTAGTCCGTTTCAGACCCCAAAAAATACACATACAAAAGCACTTACAATAATGAACTTACATAAGTGTTTGAGTTGGGAGTGGTTCGAAACTTGGGGTACCACTGTATTATAGTGTGTAATACAGTAGTATATTTTTCAGGTGATGCTACTGAATGTGGAAGATATAAAGGCTGGAAGTCACACTTACTGTTTTTAATCCTTTCCATTTTCCTACAATATACAATACTTTCTCATTTGTTCAGGGGGGTCTGTCTGTCTGTCTCTGTCTCTCTCTCTCTCTCTCTCTCCTCTCTCGTCTCTCTGTCTCCCCTCTCTCTGTCCTCTCTCTCTGTCTCTCTGTCTCTGTCTCTGTCTGTCTCTCTGTCTCTCTCTCGTCTCTCTCTCTCTCTTCTCTCTCCTCTCTGTCTCCTCCTCCCCCCCCCCTCTCTCTCTCTGTCTTCCTCTCTCTCTCCCCTCTCTCTCTCGTCCTCTCTCTCTCTCTCTCTCTCTCTCTCTCTCTCCCCCTCTTCTCTGTCTCCGTCTCTGTCTCTGTCTCTGTCTCTGTCTCTCCTCTCTCTCTACTCTCTCCTTCCTCTCCTCTCTCTCTCTCTCTTCTCTTCTCTCTCTCTCAGGAATTAGGCAATGATTATAGTGTTGTAGTAATTTGTAATGTAGCATATTTATTACATATAGAATACTTTAAAAATAAACTGCATTGTGTATTTGCATGGTAGTAATTTTTCTCTAAATTGATAAATATTTTTTCAGATGAATTTACCTCTCCATCTGGTGTATGTCAAGCCTGCCATTCATCATGCATTTCATGTGTCGGGCCCACTGAATCTGATTGTCTTTACTGTGCTCAGCAACACTTTCTGATGGGTTCAAAATGTGTGGGGGCATGTCCTGATGGACATTATGCACTGCGAGGCCGTTGTTTGCCTTGCTCTCATGGTTGTAGTACTTGTACTTCCTATACATCGTGCAGTACATGCTCACAACACTTTTATTTACTAAATAACCAGTGCATATCTGTCTGCCCCTCAGGGTAAGTACTATAATGAATAATACTGTACATGTATATAGTATTAAATTTTATAAATGTACATTATTTATTTTTTATTATCACACCGGCCGATTCCCACCAAGGCAGGGTGGCCCGAAAAAGAAAAACTTTCACCATCATTCACTCCATCACTGTCTTGCCAGAAGGGTGCTTTACACTACAGTTTTTAAACTGCAACATTAACACACCCTCCTTCAGAGTGCAGGCACTGTACTTCCCATCTCCAGGACTCAAGTCCGGCCTGCCGGTTTCCCTGAATCCCTTCATAAATGTTACTTTGCTCACACTCCAACAGCACGTCAAGTATTAAAAACCATTTGTCTCCATTCACTCCTATCAAACACGCTCACGCATGCCTGCTGGAAGTCCAAGCCCCTCGCACACAAAACCTCCTTTACCCCCTCCCTCCAACCCTTCCTAGGCCGACCCCTACCCCGCCTTCCTTCCACTACAGACTGATACACTCTTGAAGTCATTCTGTTTCGCTCCATTCTCTCTACATGTCCGAACCACCTCAACAACCCTTCCTCAGCCCTCTGGACAACAGTTTTGGTAATCCCGCACCTCCTCCTAACTTCCAAACTACGAATTCTCTGCATTATATTCACACCACACATTGCCCTCAGACATGACATCTCCACTGCCTCCAGCCTTCTCCTCGCTGCAACATTCATCACCCACGCTTCACACCCATATAAGAGCGTTGGTAAAACTATACTCTCATACATTCCCCTCTTTGCCTCCAAGGACAAAGTTCTTTGTCTCCACAGACTCCTAAGTGCACCACTCACTCTTTTTCCCTCATCAATTCTATGATTCACCTCATCTTTCATAGACCCATCCGCTGACACGTCCACTCCCAAATATCTGAATACGTTCACCTCCTCCATACTCTCTCCCTCCAATCTGATATTCAATCTTTCATCACCTAATCTTTTTGTTATCCTCATAACCTTACTCTTTCCTGTATTCACCTTTAATTTTCTTCTTTTGCACACCCTACCAAATTCATCCACCAATCTCTGCAACTTCTCTTCAGAATCTCCCAAGAGCACAGTGTCATCAGCAAAGAGCAGCTGTGACAACTCACCACTTTGTGTGTGATTCTTTATCTTTTAACTCCACGCCTCTTGCCAAGACCCTCGCATTTACTTCTCTTACAACCCCATCTATAAATATATTAAACAACCACGGTGACATCACACATCCTTGTCTAAGGCCTACTTTTACTGGGAAAATTTTTCCTCTTTCCTACATACTCTAACTTTAGCCTCACTATCCTCGTAAAAACTCTTCACTGCTTTCAGTAACCTACCTCCTACACCATACACTTGCAACATCTGCCACATTGCCCCCCCTATCCACCCTGTCATACGCCTTTTCCAAATCCATAAATGCCACAAAGACCTCTTTAGCCTTATCTAAATACTGTTCACTTATATGTTTCACTGTAAACACCTGGTCCACACACCCCCTACCTTTCCTAAAGCCTCCTTGTTCATCTGCTATCCTATTCTCCGTCTTACTCTTAATTCTTTCAATTTTAACTCTACCATACACTTTACCAGGTACACTCAACAGACTTATCCCCCTATAATTTTTGCACTCTCTTTTATCCCCTTTGCCTTTATACAAAGGAACTATGCATGCTCTCTGCCAATCCCTAGGTACCTTACCCTCTTCCATACATTTATTAAATAATTGCACCAACCACTCCAAAACTATATCCCCACCTGCTTTTAACATTTCTATCTTTATCCCATCAATCCCGGCTGCCTTACCCCCTTTCATTTTACCTACTGCCTCAAGAACTTCCCCCACACTCACAACTGGCTCTTCCCCCACTCCTACAAGATGTTATTCCTCCTTGCCCTATACACGAAATCACAGCTTCCTATCTTCATCAACATTTAACAATTCCTCAAAATATTCCTTCCATCTTCCCAATACTCTAAAATCTCCATTTAATAACTCTCCTCTCCTATTTTTAACTGACAAATCCATTTGTTCTCTAGGCTTTCTTAACTTGTTAATCTCACTCCAAAACTTTTTCTTATTTTCAACAAAATTTGTTGATAACATCTCACCCACTCTCTCATTTGCTCTCTTTTTACATTGCTTCACCACTCTCTTAACCTCTCTCTTTTTCTCCATATACTCTTCCTCCTTGCATCACTTCTACTTTGTAAAAACTTTCTCATATGCTAACTTTTTCTCCCTTACTACTCTCTTTACATCATCATTCCACCAATCGCTCCTCTTCCCTCTTGCACCCACTTTCCTGTAACCACAAACTTCTGCTGAACACTCTAACACTACATTTTTAAACCTACCCCATACCTCTTCGACCCCATTGCCTATGATCTCATTAGCCCATCTATCCTCCAATAGCTGTTTATATCTTACCCTAACTGCCTCCTCTTTTAGTTTATAAACCTTCACCTCTCTCTTCCCTGATGCTTCTATTCTCCTTGTATCCCATCTACCTTTTACTCTCAGTGTAGCTACAACTAGAAAGTGATCTGATATATCTGTGGCCCCTCTATAAACATGTACATCCTGAAGTCTACTCAACAGTCTTTTATCTACCAATACATAATCCAACAAACTACTGTCATTTCGCCCTACATCATATCGTGTATACTTATTTATCCTCTTTTTCTTAAAATATGTATTACCTATAACTAAACCCCTTTCTATACAAAGTTCAATCAAAGGGCTCCCATTATCATTTACACCTGGCACCCCAAACTTACCTACCACACCCTCTCTAAAAGTTTCTCCTACTTTAGCATTCAAGTCCCCTACCACAATTACTCTCTCACTTGGTTCAAAGGCTCCTATACATTCACTTAACATCTCCCAAAATCTCTCTCTCTCTCTGCATTCCTCTCTTCTCCAGGTGCATACACGCTTATTATGACCCACTTCTCGCATCCAACCTTTACTTTAATCACATAATTCTTGAATTTACACATTCATATTCTCTTTTCTCCTTCCATAAACTGATCATTTAACATTACTGCTACCCCTCTTCCTTTGCTCTAACTCTCTCAGATACTCCAGATTTAATCCCATTTATTTCCCCCCACTGAAACTCTCCTACCCCCTTCAGCTTTGTTTCGCTTAGGGCCAGGACATCCAACTTCTTTTCATTCATAACATCAGCAATCATCTGTTTCTTGTCATCCGCACTACATCCACGCACATTTAAGCAACCAGTTTTATAAAGTTTTTCTTCTTCTCTTTTTTAGTAATTGTATACAGGAGAAGGGGTTACTAGCCCATTGCTCCCGGCATTTTAGTCGCCTCATACGACACGCATGGCTTACGGAGGAAAGATTCTTTTCCACTTCCCATGGACAATAGAAGAAATAAAAAAGAACAAGAGCTATTTAGAAAATGGAGAAAAACCTAGATGTATGTATATATATATATGCATGTGCGTGTCTGTGAAGTGTGACCAAAGTGTAAGTAGGAGTAGCAAGATATCCCTGTTATCTTAGCGTGTTTATGAGACAGAAAAAGAAACCAGCAATCCTACCATCATGCAAAACAGTTACAGGTTTTTGTTTCACAGTCATCTGGCAGGACGGTAGTACTTCCCTGGGTGGTTGCTGTCTACCAACCTACTACCTATGTACATATTTATAATAATAATAATAATAATAATAATAATAATAATTTATTTTCTAGTAAAACATATTTGATACAACAGTTTTTTATATTAGAAAGCTTATATTTCTGCAAGACATTTCAAGAAGATTTAAGCTAAGACTAAAAAGTAGGAGAATATATCATTATACATTAGTAGACACACTTATCACAAATAAATTATGTATGTATAGTAAGCGTCATAAATATGCACTCACAAAAACAGAAAACAAGACTGCTCGCCAGCTCACCTTAAAAAGTAATTTTAATTATTTTTTTTTTTTTCAACATGTTGGCCTTCTCCCACCAAGGCATGGTGACTCAAAAAAGAAAGAAACGCTTTCACCATTGTTCAACAGCTAAGCCATCATTCGCACATAATCACTGACTTTACAGAGGTGCCCAGATATGACAGTTTAGATGTCACTCCAGACAGCCAATATCCCAAACCCCTCCTTTACAGTGCAGGAATTGTATTTCCCACCTCCAGGACTCAAGTCTGACTAACCAGTTTCCCTGAATCCCTTCACAAAATATTACCCTGCTCACACTCCAACAGGTTGTCAGGTCCCAAATACCATTCATCTCTATTCACTCCTATCTAACACACTCACACATGCGTACTCCATGTCTAGGCTCCTTGCACATGAAACCTCTTTTACCCCCTCCCTCCAACCTTTCCTAGGATGACCCCTACCCTCCCACTGCAGATTTATACATCCTCCAAGTCATCCTATTTTGCTCCATCCTGTCTAAATGACCAAACCACCTCAGTAACTCCTCTTCAGTCCTCTGAATAATACTTTTAGTAACTCCACACCTCCTAATTTCTACACTACGAATTCTCTGCATAATATTTACTCCACACATTACCCTTAGAAATGATGTCTCCACTGTCACCAGCCTCCTCCTCACTGCAGCATTCACAACTCATGCTTCACACCCATACATGAGTGTTGGTACCACTATACTCTCGTACATTCCGTTCTTGCCTCCATGGATAACCTTTTTTTTTGTCTCCACAGATAACTAGATGCACCACTCACATTTTTTCCTTCATCAATTGTATGGTTACCCTCATCCTTCATAAACCCATCTGCTGACAGATCTACTCCCAAATATCTGAACACGTTCACTTCTTCCATATTCCCTCCCTCCACGTGATATTCATTTTTTCCGTACCTATCTTGTTTGATACCCTTATCATCTTACTCTTATCTGTGTTCACTTTCAACTTGTTCCTCACCTAAGCTAGTATTTTGTAAGATTACCTTTCTCTGATGCACTCCTTAAGTCTCCTAAGCACTGATTAGGTTAGCTTATGGAGGATAGAGAAGTCAATATCCTCCAACACCTGCTTAATAATTAGCACTCAAGATTTTGGGGTGAGAGGACACATCCATGCCATGAAGCTTATGCTTAACAGGTTTCAAAATATTCATTATCAGAATTAAGTTCATTGAGTTTCCAGGCCAGGCATTAATTATGGAAAATTCACAGTAATTTAGACAGTTCTTTATATGTTTGGCATTATAGCAAGGGGCACTGTCTTCCATACAAAAGTTGACCTAGCACTACTTGAATCTGTCAGGCAAAAAGCTTGCTGAAAACATACCAGTGCACTTGCATAAGTATTTATGATGCCTAAAGTTCCTGGACTGCTGTAAAAATAAAAATTATATAGGCTTACCTGATCACCTAGTTGAAGTTTTCTCTCTCAAAGTACTCTTCTTAGGAGGCTCTCCACTGATCCCAGTGCCTCTGCCATTTCTTAAAACATTTCTGGAACTCTTCTAACAGCATCTAATACAGCCTACAATTCTGCTTAAATCTCCTTCATTTCATTAAAATGCTACCCCTTGAGTGCCATATTTTGGGAGGGAAGAGAAAGAAATCACAGGGTCTAGATCTGAGGAGTAGGGAGGGTGGGGCATGATCACCATATTGTTTTTAGCCAGAATGGTCTTTCTGGTCTTGAGTTAGCAAGTAGGGCACATATTTCACAGCCACTCACCTTATGATAAAATTTTCATTCATATTGCTTTGACATGACCTATAAGAAATTTACATAGAACTTGCAGTATACTGGTTACTCTGATGATGTTCATGAATAGCCCTTCCTCACTTTTTCAACGTTGGCATCTGTTTTTTACATTGATGGATGACCAGAGTGTGTGTCATCCTCAGCTGATGTTCGTCCTGCTTTGAATTGAGAAAGCTATTCAAAACACTTGGTCACCATATGCTTGCTGAAACATTTTGAGAGTTTCATCTGCCATTTCACTGAGCTTGAAAGAGAATTTTACACACACACACACACACACACACTGTTCTTTCTTTTAAATATTCTATTATTACATAAAAAATCAGAACAATGCACTGACAACATGACAAAAAATGCTTCTCTAATCTCACTGGAATGACTCACCACACTACTTCACAAAGGAGCATACTGTTCAGTGGGATCTACAATGCTATCAGGTTTCACCCAGGAAGCTTGCAAAAAAAAGTCGAGCTTGATAACTTTTTGCACACGTGTGCGCTTGCATGCGTACTCACCTGTATGTGGTTGCAGGGGTTGAGTCACAGCTCCTAGTCCTGTGTGTGTTACCAGTTGTCAAAGGCTAGGTACCTACTTGTTAGATGAACAGGAACTGCAGGTGTAAGGAAACAGGCCCAGTTTTTCCACCCAGCCAAGGATTGAACCACAGTGTGTGAGGTGAGAACATTGCCTACCAGGCCACTGGACACTGTGATAAACTTCAAGGTAGAATTATTACTGAAAAGGTTAATATAAAGATACAAAGTATGATTGTAGGGTGGTTTTAGGAAGGGTAAAAGAAGTTTAGATCAAGTATTTATGTCATAGTATACAAATGAGCAATACCTAGAAAAGGATAAGTAACTGTTTGTTGCATTTATGGATTTATAAAAGACATATGGCAGATGTTACAAATGTAAGGATCAGCAGATAGGCTAATAAAAACAGTTAAAGATTTTTATGCAAGGAGAAGCTCAGGTTAGAGTATGTAGGAGGGAGGGGGACTGCTTCCCAGCAAAAGTAAGTGACAGGGATGTGTAATATTATTCTGGTTGTTTAGCATATAGATGGGTTTGTGAAGGGTGTGTGAGATTGAAATGTTGGATCTGATATGGAGGGAGAGTTATCCCAGTTGCTCTTTGCTGGTGACACAGTTCTAGGGGGTTCTGAAGGCAAATTAAAAAAAAGTTAGTGGATGAATTTAGGAAGACATGTAAAAGTAGGAAATTAAAAATGAACTTAGAAAAGGGAAAGGTGTTGAGGGTAACTAATAGTTTTGGAAATGATAGATTGAACATTAGACTGCAGGGAGTGTAGAATAAGTGAATGGATTTAGATATTTGACAGTGAACATGTTAGAAAATGGGTCTGTGAAGCATGAGATGAACCACAGAATAGATGAGGAGAAAAAGGTGGGTGAAGTATTTGTGGAAAGAAAGTAAGTTTATCTGTGGAAGCAGGAAAAAAAGGTTGTACCATATTATGGTGGTACCAACACTTCCATATGGATGTGAGGTGTGGTTTTTGAATGCTGCAGCAGAAAGGAGGCTACAGGCAGCAGAGATATCATATTGGGAAACAATGTATAGGGCGAATGTCATGAAGAGATTTTGGAATGTAGAAATTATAAAATACTATGGGAGTGAGCTGTGGAGGGGCTGCTGAGGTGGTTTGGGTATATAAAGAGGATAAATAATGATAGGTTGACAAAGAGGGTGTATAAATCTGGAATGGGAGGTAGAAGATGGAGGTGTCATACAAGGAATGGTTGGAGGGAGGGAGGTACGAGAGGCTTTGAGTTGTAGGAGCTTGAACATCTAGTAGATTTGTATGAGTGTGTTAGAAGTGAATGGAGACAAGTGGTTTTTAATGAATGTGCTGTTGGAGTGTGAGCAGGGTAGCTTTTATGAAGGAATTCAGGGAAACTTAGTTAGCAGAACTTGAGTCCTGGAGGTGAGAAGGGGAGGGGTGGGGATGTTGCAATCAAATTGTAGTCTGTTTGTGATGTCAGCACATTTCTAGAAAGATGGAGACAGAGTAAATGTGTTTTCTTCTTTGGGTCTTCCGTGCCTTGGTGTGAGACAGCCATTGAAGTAAAAAAAAAAAAATAGTGTTGTATAAATAGTGAATGGAATGCCAAATTACATGAAGTAAAAGAAGCAAAGATTTTTATTATTTATTTTTTATTGCAGGTTCTATAGTGACCGAGGCATATGTACAGCATGTGAAGAAGCTTGCAAGACATGTTATGGGCCTCGAGGTGACCAGTGTGCTTCATGCTCTAATAGCTCCTTCTTGCTTAATTCATCCTGTCATAGCACATGTCCACCTTCCCATTACCCAGAAGGAAGTGAATGCTATCCTTGTTATCACAACTGTCAAACTTGCAAGGGTGAGCACCAAGAACTTTTCTGTTTAATAGGTTCAAACAGAGCCTTTACCTTATTTAATATATATGATTTTTAGTTTTAAGGAAGCCATGATAATTGTCCCACACTACCTAGTTTAAAAGTGACTGTGGCAAACCGGTAAGAAAATATATATTGTTGTCTCACTGTTACATTTATTTAACCCTTTGATGGTCCAGACCCCCAATTTGAAAATTCCCCACAGGGTCCAAGAATTTAAAATATATATATATACATGTATATATATATATATATATATATATATATTTTCTTATGAAATGGTAGAGAATCTTTTTCTGAAGGTAATAAAACAAAGTACGAAATTTCATAAAAAATTTACAAAATTATGCTCTTGCAAATTTTCCTATGTTAGTGATATATACACATCTGCCATTTTGCCCACTTTGAGTCCTATTTTCAGCCTGTTACATTGTTCCATTAGACCAAATTATTAGCTATTTCTCTAGTATTTGTTCCATTTTATGTATTGAGCACAAGAAATCACCCATTCAACTATTTCAACTACCCAATAAAGTGATCGGAAATTGGTAATTTGGCCAATTTCACACAAAGTTCAAAATATCCCAGTTTCAAAATAGGGTCTAGAATAAACACTGCAGACAATCCTGGCACCAAAATAACATGTTTATTAGTTACATTTGCAAGCTTTACAGATGAATTCCATTTTGATTTTTTATTCGCATAAGGAATTTTTATTCACACCAAAAAATTGGAAGATTTACTGTTATGTCATATTGTAATAATTGTATAAATAATATCAGCGCATTCGTAAATGCATGTTAGACCCACCAGCTGATGTGCGTTGGATGCATGATGTGATTTGTTTACTCTTATCAGCAAAAATCGAACATTTCTGCTACTTTGAGCTTAATTTCAAGCTATTTTCAGTACAAAAACCAATCAAAATCATCACTATTTCTGTAATATGTCTTCCATTCTATGAATTGAGACCAAGAAACCACAAATATAACCATAAAAACCATACAAAAATACACTGCAAAGTCGCTGTTTTAATCCAAAAACACGGTCAAAGTTTTTTCTGCAGGATTTATTTTATATAGTGCATACTTATCACATAGATGCATTCTCTCATATCTAGGCCCAAATTTACTGCTAACAGCTTATTTGAGTGAGCTGAGCTCATGGCGTAGTACAGTGGAACCCTGGATTACGGCTGTAATCCATTCCAGGTCAGCCTAAATCCAAAAAGGCCGAAAGCCGAAGAAATATTTCCCATAAGAATTTTTTTGCATCACCCTGCCTCGGTGGGAGACGACCGATTTGTTGAAAAAAAAAAAAAAAAAAAAAACAATTAATCCTTTCCAGACACCCAAAAATATTAACAAAAAATACATTTTTTAAAGATTAACTATAGTTTTACATATACAAAACAATGAGAAAGAAATATAAAGCAATAATTTTTTAATAAATGAACATTACATACCTTTATTGAAGAAGGTGAGGAGAGGAGAGAGAGAAGAGCTTTTTGTTTACATAAGAAGAACATAAGAAAGGATGAACACTGCAGCAGGCCTGTTGGCCCATACTAGGCAGGTCCTTTACAATTCATCCCACTAACAAACATTTGACCTACCCAATTTTCAATGCTACCCAAGAAATAAGCTCTGATGTGCAAGTCCCACTCAAATCCAAACCCATCCCACTCATGTATTTATCCAACCTAAATTTGAAACTACCCAAAGTCCTAGCCTCAATAACCCAACTAGGTAGACTGTTCCACTCATCTACTACCCTATTTCCAAACCAATACTTTCCTATGTCCTTTCTAAATCTAAACTTATCTAATTTAAATCCATTACTGCGGGTTCTCTCTTGGAGAGATATCCTCAAGACCTTGTTAATATCCCCTTTATTAATACCTATCTTCCACTTATACACTTCGATCAGGTCTCCCCTCATTCTTCGTCTAACAAGTGAATGTAACTTAAGAGTCTTCAATCTTTCTTCATAAGTAAGATTTCTAATGCTATGTATTAATTTAGTCATCCTACGCTGAATGTTTTCTAACGAATTTATGTCCATTCTGTAATATGGAGACCAGAATTGAGCTGCATAATCTAGGTGAGGCCTTACTAATGATGTAAAAAGCTGCAGTATGACCTCTGGACTTCTGTTGCTTACACTTCTTGATATAAATCCCAGTAATCTATTTGCCTTATTACGTACGCTTAGGCATTGCTGTCTTGGTTTAAGGTTGCTGCTGGTTAAGTTCTACATTATTTAACTTATAAGTGCTAGGGTTATGGACACTCCCGAGCTTCAGAACCTTGCATTTATCTACATTGAACTGCATCTGCCACTTTTCTGACCAAGAGTAGAGTTTGTCTAAATCCTCCTGAAGTTCCCTAACATCTACGTTTGAATCAATTATCCTACCTATCTTCGTGTCATCGGCGAATTTGCTCATATCACTAGTAATTCCTTCATCAAGATCATTGATATATATTATAAACAACAACGGGCCCAAGACTGATCCCTGTGGAACGCCACTTGTTACTGATCCCCACTCGGATTTAACCCCATTAATGGACACTCTTTGCTTCCTGTCTGTGAGCCATGATTCGATCCACGAGAGCACCCTTTCCCCAATGCCATGAGCTGCTACTTTCTTTAACAGTCTTTGGTGCGGAACTCTATCAAATGCCTTACTAAAATCTAAGTAAATAATATCAAATTCTTTATCGTGGTCAACAGCCTCAAAAGCTTTACTGAAGAAAGTTAATAAATTAGTTAGACAAGACCGGCCTCTTGTGAATCCATGCTGAGTATCATTAATCAAGCTATGCTTATCGAGATGGCTTCTTATAATCTCAGCTATAATTGACTCTAGTAATTTGCCTACAATTGAGGTCAGGCTTATTGGGCGGTAATTTGACGGTAACGACTTGTCCCGTTTTAAAAATAGGAATTACATTAGCCATCTTCCACAGATCAGACACTACACCTGTTTGAAGAGATAAATTAAAAATATTAGTTAATGGTTCACAGACTTCCATTTTGCATTCCTTTAGAACCCTTGAAAAAACCTCATCAGGACCCGGTGACTTATTTTGCTTCAGTCTGTCTATCTGCTTCACAACCATTTCACTAGTGACTGTGATGTTACATAATTTATCTTCTTCTGATCCACTATAAAAATTAATTACCGGAATATTATTAGTGTCTTCCTGTGTAAAAACCGAGAGAAAATAATTATTTAAAATCGAGCACATTTCATTCTCTTTGTCAGTAAGATGCCCATAGTTATTTTTAAGGGGACCTATCTTATCTCTGACTTTTGTTCTATAGACCTGGAAAAAACTTTTTGGGTTAGTTTTAGAATCCCTAGCAACTTTAATTTCATAGTCCTTTTAGCTTTTCTTATCCCCTTTTTAATGTCCCTCTTAATGTCAATATACTGATTCATAAGATGACCCTCGCCTCTTTTGATACGCCTATAAATTCCTTTCTTATGCCTAGTAGATATTTCAGCCTATTATTCATCCATTTTGGGTCATTTCTATTTGATCTAATTTCCTTATAAGGGATAAACGTTCTTTGAGCAGCATGTATTGTGTTCAGAAAACTGTCATATTGATAGCTCTCTTCGTTACCCCAGTCAACAGATGATAAGTGTTCTCTAAGCCCATCGTAATCTGCTAAAGCGAAAATCTGGGACTGTTACTGAGTTATCCCTACTATCATACTTCCATTCAATTCTACATGTAATTGATTTGTGGTCGCTAGCACCAGTTCCTCTGAAACTTCTAAATATTAACAAGGGATTCATTGTTTTGCCAGAACTAAGTCAAGCAGGTTATTACCCCTTGTAGGTTCTGTCACAAACTGCTTCAAAAAACAATCCTGAACTACTTCTAAGAAATCGTATGATTCTAAATTCCCAGTCAAGAAATTCCAATCAATATGACTAAAGTTAAAGTCTCCTAGAAATTTCTACATTATCGTGCCTTGTGGCCCTAACAATTTCCTCCCATAGTAGTTTCCCTGGTCCCTATCTAAATTTGGGGGACGGTATATCACACCTAAAATTAATTTTTTATGCCCCTCTGAAAATTCTATCCAAACAGACTCTGTATGTGTTACTTCAGACTTAATACCCGTTTTATGCAACAGTTCAAGCGATCTCGGACATACAATGCCACCCCACCCCCCTTCCCCATAAATTCTATCTACTTGGAACAATTTAAAACCCTGAATGTGACATTCTGCAGGCATGTCCCGACTTTTTGAATTAAACCACGTCTCAGTAATGGCAAATACATCTATGTTACCTGCACTAGCAACTAGTCTCAACTCGTCCATCTTATTCCTAGCACTGCGACTATTTGTGTAATAAATATTTAATGACCCTCCTATCTCTTTACCCCTTCCTGCTCCTTTCTGTTATTCCACTAAACCTATTACTGTCATTGTCAATTAGTGCCACTGGCTTTCCAATATCCTCCTCATTTTGCCTATTACTAGTTCTCCTAGTACTCATGTTACTACCCTGAGACTTCACAGTTTTCCCGCCAAAACCCATACCACTAACTATTCCTAGTTTAAAACCTAACAGCTCCCATCCACTGCGTTGGCCAGTGCTCCCACCCCACACCTAGACAAGTGAACCCCATCCCTGGCATACATGTCATTTCTGCCATAGAAGAGGTCCAGTTGTCAATGAATGTTACCGCATTTTCCTTACAGTATTTGTCCAGCCAGCAATTGACACCAATTGCTCTGGACAACCATTCATTTCCAACTCCTCTCCTTGGCAAAATGCCACATATGACAGGTTTCCCACCCTTCTTCCTAATTATCTCTATTGCTGACCTATACCTGCTAATCAGGTCCTCACTCCTACGTCTGCCAACATCGTTGCCTCCAGCACTGAGACAGATAATAGGATTGCTCCCATTACCTCTCATGATGTCATCCAGACGGCTAACAATATCCTTCATCC